GCAACTTGCTTTTCTTATTAAAAATGCATTTGGGAAATCTTTCTTTTTTTTTTATTTTTTTTTATTATTTTTTTTTAATATTTACTTATTTTTGAGACAGAGAGAGACAGAGCATGAACGGGGGAGGGTCAGAGAGAGGGAAACACAGAATCTGAAACAGGCTCCAGGCTCTGAGCTGTCAGCACAGAGCCCGATGTGTGGCTCGAACTCACTGACTGCGAGATCATGACCTGAGCCGAAGTCGGACGCTCAACTGACTGAGCCACCCAGGCGCCCCTGGGAAATCTTTCTATGCCAGTTTATCTGTCCTGCTGCCTACTGTATCCCCAGCATTTAGAACAGCACCTGGCCCAGCTGAATCTCCTGCCGATTTGCTGAATGAGCGAATGATTGGCGTGTAACCATATGCCAGATGATGGAAGTTTAGTTTGCCTGCCATTTCTCTCGTGCACATCTGTCTTGTCCCCCATCTTCTTCTCAGTATGACAGGCTCTCTACCTTCCATTCCTCCTCTCCTGCTGGCATCCCCCACAGCACCCACGTCTTCCTACTGGATCTCAGCGTGGCTTCCTGCTCCCTGCAGGGCCGCTCCCCTTAGCGCAGGAACCCCACCGAACGGACTAGGTCTGGCTCTGGCAGGAGGAGGGATTTCCCGGCTGGTCTCCTGGACAGAGAGGCCCAGCTGTCACCTCTACTCCACCTCGGCCCCCTGACTGCTGAAACACCAAAATCGCCCCCGAGGTCACCAGGGACCTCCTCATGGGCAAATCCAACAGCAGCTCCACACACCTTGCCTTATACAAACCTCTCTGCTGCTTTCAACACTGTGGACCACACCCTTACCTCTTATTTTAAATCAAGACACTTTAAGGGGTTCCTGGGTGGCTCAGTCAGTTAAGCATCTGACTTTGGCTCAGGTCATGATCTCACCGTTGGTGGTTCGGACCCCACATCGGGCTCTGTGCTGACAGCTCAGAGCCTAGAGCCTGCTTCGGATCCTGTGTCTCCCTCTCTCTCTGCTCCTCCCCTGCTGATGCTCTGTCTCCCTCTCTCTCTCTCTCTCAAAAATAAATAAATTTTAGGGGCGCCTGGGTGGCGCAGTCGGTTAAGCGTCCGACTTCAGCCAGGTCATGATCTTGCGGTCCGTGAGTTCGAGCCCCGCGTCAGGCTCTGGGCTGATGGCTCAGAGTCTGGAGCCTGTTTCCGATTCTGTGTCTCCCTCTCTCTCTGCCCCTCCCCCGTTCATGCTCTGTCTCTCTCTGTCCCAGAAATAAATAAACGTTGAAAAAAAAAATTTTTAAAAATAAATAAATAAATTTTAAAAGAAGTAATAATAAATCAAAACATTTTGGACCACCTCCTCTTGAAACTCTTCTCCCTTAGGTTGTAAAACTTGGTCCAAGTCTTCTAAGTCTTTCCAGTTCTTTCCTTAGTCTCTGCTCATGGGTTCAAAGACAGGGTCCTGCCCAGGCCATCGGCTCTCCCTCTCGTGCCCTCCACCTGCCCCTATACTGGAGAGTCTACAACCGCACTTGTGGCTCAGACCTCGCTAAGCACCAGGCACGCACAGCTATAAATCTGTGACGTAAATGGCATGCATGCTATTTGAATAAGTTCTGTGGGAACTGAGAAAACGCTGTCATTCGCCAAACATTGGCTGAGTCTGTCTACTTCAGCAGACCGAGTCTACTTCTCAAAGTGTGGTCCAGGAAAACTCGGGGGGCGGGGGTGGCCCAAGACCCTTTCAGGCAGTCCTCAAAGTAAGAACTGTTTTCATAATGACACATAATAAGGCGTAACGTGCTTTTTTCCACTCTCATCCTCGTGAGCATGTCATGAAGTATTCCAGAGACTGAGTGTCGTGGGATAACCCCTGGCGGCCCTCTGGTAAGCCAGATATTAATTAGAGACTTGCAGAAATACATCGGTGCCAGTCTTCTTACAAATTTTTTTGTTTGGGGAAAATATAGTTATTTCGCATAAAAATACATTATTTATACTAATGTAATGGTTTATTAATATTTAAAATAAACAAATGTTTATAATTGCCTGATTTTAGTTTCTAATAAGGTGCTTATCAGTGGATGGATATAACTCACATAAACGAAAGCTCTTCGGCATCCTCAATAGTTACGAAAAGCAGTTCTGAAACCAAAAGTTTCTTCTTAAATCCAGAGCTTTCTAGTAGGCATTTCCCAGAAGATGGTCCCGTGTAGGGAGCGAATAGTCATGTTATGCAGGGTCCCAGGACAGAGGCCCAGTGTCTTTCTCACACCATCCACCCACCTGTCTCACCCACACCTTCTTCATCCCCTACCTAACTCATGCTACAGCGTCCTACAGGCCTCCCTCAGCAAACCATTTGGCTCAGTCCCTGTTTGTAGCCAGCAGGATATTTCTAGAACAAGTGTGACCATGTCACCCCCTTCCTTAGAAATATCCTCAGGATGGGGCGCCTGGGTGGCTCAGTCGTGTGGGCCTCCGACTCTTGGTTTGGGCTCAGGTCATGATCCCACAGTTTGGGGGTTCGAGACTGATGTGGGGGCTCTGTGCGGACAGTGCAGAGCCTTCTTGAGATTCTCTCTCTCCCCCTCTCCTTCTGCCCCTCCCCTGCTTATGCTCTCCCTCTAAATAAATAAATAAATAAATATCCTCAGACCCCGTGTTGACCTACAAGAAAGACACAAATGCCTAAGCATCCTGGTGAGCCATCACCATGCCGTGCTGGCCCCTGTGCAACTCACCACCCACCCTGGCCCACCTGGCCCACCTGACCCTTTCTCTTGAGCCATGATGAATCTCTCCTGGCTCCCCAAGCCTTCTAGAAGGTTCTCATCACCGTGCTTCTGCATGTGCTTTCGTTTCTACTTGGAATGCCCTTTTTGGTTTGGCAAACTTCAAGATTCGGCAGAAATGCCCCTCAAAGTGGTCACACCTAAGTCCACAAACAGAATGAGTGACTTGGTCATCTCATCTACCAGGCACTTTGCTCACAGCTCTGCAATGACACATTGGATCGTCACTTATCCGTATCTCAAGACACTGTGTACTATGTTCCCACCTCTTTGCCCTCAGAATCACCA